CGGGCCTTCCCCCAACTCCCCCGGGCGGTGGCGGATCCAGCTCGCCTCGCCGCGCGCCTCTCGCCGCTAATTTTACCGCCTCCGCGCGCCAGACGCTTATCGCGTTGGCTCTAATAGACGGAGCGGAAGAGACGATAAAAAAAGTTGGGTGGGTGGCGGGGCGGCGGCGGCCGCAGGGGTGTCCCGGGCGCCGCGCCGCCGGCGCTCGCGGAATTCAATATCGTCGCGAGACAAAGCTGCGGATCAAATGACGCGGAAGTTATCGCCCGAGTTCCTCCCCGCGCCGGCCCGGACGCGACCTCCGCGCCGCGCCCCGGGGGCGAAGTGTGTCAGCGCTCGGTTGGCGTTCGCGTGAGTTGTGGCGGAGGCGGGGACGCGGTAACAGAGGAAGAGCTCTGAGTCGGCACTTCATTGAATCTCGAGCAGAAAGAATTCTTTCGAGCGGTTCATAAAAAAAAACGTCTTAAAGGTTTTTGTAAAACACTATGATCAAACTAACGTTTGAAATAATTTTGAAAGAAAACACAGATGGGAAGGAACAAATAATTTCGATGTTCTGACGTTGGTATAGAAGTGTTAATAGAAGAAAATAAGGGACACAATGAAGCTCCACTAAATGGAATGCAAATAATGTACAGAATACTGTTGCGTAGGCTTCCGCGGCCGGACGTTGTGTTACCTAGGCTATCCGGGACGAGCCGCGTCACTGACATGGTGGCTAACGTTTCGGCCAGCGTATAGTGGCCTTCTTCAGGGCGTACTACTGGTTCGGAATATTAATTACAATGAGGTATATTTTCACGAAAGGGCAAGATGTTGTAGTTCATATCTGTACCACAATTAAAAGTCATTAGACAACATTTTTCCCCTTTTCCTCTGGCAATGTTGCAACCCTATTGACCGCAACATGGTTCTTTCCGCCGTTCAAAACATTCCTCTCTTCTCAATGTACCATCAACTTGACACACGAAAAAAAAACAATTGTATGGACAAAAGGGGATCCAACAGAACAATATAATATTCCGAACTTTTACAGGTTACTAACGTCAATGAATTTCCCACGGTTCAACGCGTCCATTGCGTTGCCAAGTGGGAGAAGGGGCGGAGACTGGGGCGTCTGTAAGACTACAGCATGGCTGCGGCCAGTCGCTCCGGGGGCGCTGGGGTGGGGGGCTGGGGGCCCCGGGCCGTGGGACGGGGGCACGGGCGCCGGGGTGGCGCGAGGCCCGGAAACGGAAGCGCTGTCCATTTTTCAGGCGTCTGCGAACGCGGTCCCGCGTGGGACGGCCGCGGTGGCCGCCATCGCTGGGTGAAGCGAGGGCAGGTAAGGGCGGGGGTGCGGGCCGGGGGCCGGAGGTGAAGAAGTGAAAAACAGCAGCGGAGGTAGGTGGAGAGCGGATGTAGGTGGAGAACGGTGGTAGGAGGCGGTGTGTGGGGTCGGTGGCGCGGGCTTGGGGTGGCAGCAGGGGCGTGGGAAAAATGAAGTGAAGAACATGAGCGAAGGACGAAAGCGGAGGTGGAAGGAAAGTGGGGATAGATGGATGAGTTTGCGGGGAGGTGCGAAGGCCAAGTGGGGTGAAGGGCGAAGACAATGGGCGGGATCCGAATGTAGGTATGAAGATTGTGTTATGTATAATTTGTTGACAATACGAGCTATTTTTATACAACTTTTTTAATCAAAAACGGCTCCAAATTGTTTCTTAAAATTTTATTCTCACATGTATCAAAGGACGTTGAGAATCTGGTACTTTCCGGCGAACACTATTTTTTAAAATTGCAAATAATTAACATTGCAACAATATAAAATTAAAGATAACGATTTTTGAATTAACTGAAATCTTTTCAAAAAATGAGATCTTACACAAAATTTATGAAAATTTTCCGCAAACACGAGACATTTTTGTGTCATTTAGCGCAATTAATAAAAACAATTTTTTTGAAAATCTACTTATATTTTCTTAAAATGTTTTTCCAATTAAGAACAAAAGGCGTTTAAAAGAATGGCTTAAGCGAAGAGAATGGCGCAAATGCTAGAAAGTATATTCCTTTGTAGTGCCACTAGTTTCTAATTGAAGATGAGTAGACCTTCGAATACCCTTTGTCACTTCGATGATATTTGAAGATTTTCAAAAAACTAAATACTGAAGCTGATTCTAAATTACCTCTCATATGTTATTTGTGCAACATAATATTGATAATAAAAATAACAAGTATAAAAAAAACAATATCACATGAATTGAAATGGAAGAAATTATCATTCTTATAATTTTAGAAACATTTAGTTTTCAGCCATTGTAACGAACAATTTTTTTGAAATTTTAGAGTAGTTAGGAACTCAAATAGTACACGTAAAAACAATATTTAAAATGATAACAAAAAATATAGTAAGTATATATTGCGTAGTGATTAAAATTGTCGCTGTAGAGAAAAATGCCAACAACTCCAGATTTCCTTATATTTTATAATCGAGTTCAAACTTGACAATGGTCTCACGGACCGTTATTTCATGCGAGGAACTCTCTATCAAAAGGAGAAGGTCTCACAAAAATACTTGAGGGTCGTTCTAAGGCAATGCAGCAAGGGCACGTGTATACGCCGTTGAGGCTACGGAGGCAGGGGGGAATAGGCCTTCGCCCCCACTCCGTCGACGCAGCCTCCCCTCCATTCTGCATCGCTTCGTCATCCCCTCAGGTGCCGACTCCGTTTCCGGGTCTGTGTAAGCCTTCGCTTTCGTTTACTCCTGAACCTCCCCCTTCACCTCAGACACGGCCTTCGCCTCCCTTCTGCGTCTTCGCCTACGCCTAAACCCCGCCTTCGCCCCAACCAATGCATTCGCCTACCTGTCCGCTTTCGTCTCCACCTCTGCCTTCACCTCCACCTGAGCCTTAACCTCAATACCTTCGCCTTCGTCTCTGATTTCGCCTTTGCCTCGACCTTCAGCTTCGTTTATGCCTTAACCTCTGCTTTCACCTCAGACAGCTTCGTCTTCGCTTCAGCTTCCGCATCTGCCTTCGCCTTCACTAATGTTTCAACCTACTGCCTTCGCCTCAGACAACGCTTGGTCATCGTTTTCGCTTCTGTCCCTTTTTCTGTCTTCGCATCCGCATAAGTTCTATCCTAAGCCTCAGACAATGCCTTGGTGTTCATTTCCGCTTCTATCTCCGTCTCTGTCTTCACCTCATTTTAATTTTTAACCTAAGTCTCAGACAACGTCTTGGCCATCGTTTTCGCTTCCTCCTCTGTCTCCATTTATGTCTTAACCTAAGTATTTGCCTCGGCTTTTACGTCCACCTTTCCATCTCTTTCCTCGCACCTATTCCGCCTTCACCTCCGTCTACACCATGTTCCCAGTCTTCGTCTACACTTTTTGCCTCCATTCTCCCCTGCACCTTCCCCGCATCCGTCTTCGCTTCCAACTCTGCCCCTGCCTGACTTCACTTTCACCGTTTTTTCCGACTCCGGCTTTGCCTTCAAATTCGCCTCCTACTCCACCTCTGCCTCCGTCTTCTCTTGCTGTTCTTCATTCGCTACTCTCTGTCCGTGCCTCCGCTCTCGCGTCCGACTCTGCCTTCGTCGCCGCCGTCCCCTTCGATCCACTTTTGCTTCTCCTCGCTTCCACCTCTGCCTGTTTTCGCCTCCGCCTTCACCTCGCCTTTCTCCTCCGCCGTCGCCTCCGCCTTCGCTTGCTGTTCTTCATTCGCTACTCCCTGCCTGTGCCTCCACCCTCTCATCCGACTCTGACATCGTCATCACCGTCCTCTTCGATCCACATTTTCTTCTCCTCGCTTCCACCT